ATTTTTTAATGCATTTTATTGAAATATAATTTATGTACAGTGAAATACACAAAAACTAAAGTGACATGGGTCAATGCATTCTTCTTCTTCTTCTTCTTCTTTTTTTTTTTTCAGTGTTCTTCCGCTCCCCTTCCACCCCTGGCAACCAAGAGAGAAAGTTTCCTTCCATATACAAATCTTTCCTTGACCCTCCACAACAATGAACTAATACTATATTTTGCTTCTGTGATTGATGTATTTCACTCAGCATAATGTCCTCCAAGTTCATCCATGTTGTGCGGTGTTTTGCTGACTCTACATTATTCTTCAGTGTTGCATGATATTCCATTGTGTATATGTACGATAGTTTGGTTACCCATTCTTCTGTTTATGGGCACGTTGGTTTTTTCCATCTTTTTGCTATTGTAAATAGTGCTGTGGGTGTGCATATGTCTGTTCCTGTCCCAATCTCCACACCTCTGCCAGCATTTGTTATTTGCTGTCTTGTTGAACCTTGCCATCAGTGCTGGGGTGAGATGGTATCTCATTGTTGTTTGATTTTCATTTCTCTGGTGGCCAATGATCATGAGCATCTCTTTATGTATTTGCTGGCCACCTGAATATCCTCCTCGGTGAAGTATCTATTCATGTCTTCTGCCCATTTTTCAATGGGATTATTAATTGCTTTGGTGTTGAGGTGTTGGAGTTTTCTATAAATCTTAGAGATAATTACCTTGCCAGATGTGTAATTATCAACAAGTATGAATTTGTTGCTGTCATTTTGTTATGTACTTTTTCATGGTGTTGATTTCTTTGTTCCATATAATTTTCTGTGCTGAGCTAATTTTGTTTATGAATCATGTTATCAATTCCTTCATTGCTGTTGTTTTAGTATTTGCTAAATATTTGTGCTGGTCCTCTTTTTCATTTTGATGTGAAGGTTTATCATTTTTCTTTCAGGTTACCTGGTGATTTATAATTTTCTTCCCAAGTTTAGAATAGTCCGTTCTATCTTTTAGTTGTCTTGACTTCCCTACCATTTAGTT